GGAGGAGGAGGAGGAGGAGGAGGAGGAGGAGGAGGAGGAGGAGGAGGAGGAGGAGGAGGAGGAGGAGGAGGAGGAGGAGGAGGAGGAGGAGGAGGAGGAGGAGGAGGAGGAGGAGGAGGAGGAGGAGGAGGAGGAGGAGGAGGAGGAGGAGGAGGAGGAGGAGGAGGAGGAGGAGGAGGAGGAGGAGGAGGAGGAGGAGGAGGAGGAGGAGGAGGAGGAGGAGGAGGAGGAGGAGGAGGAGGAGGAGGAGGAGGAGGAGGAGGAGGAGGAGGAGGAGGAGGAGGAGGAGGAGGAGGAGGTTGTACATTCAATACAACAGAAATAATTTGGAGTAACATCAAAAGGAGGTCAGAAAAAAGTTAATTCTCTATTGTTTGAAAGCGTTTTAGATATTATTAAAGAAGTTATTGAAGGTATATCTCAAGAATTATGGTCTAATTTAAAATAACCATCGAGTGCTTCTGGCTCATTCCTGCATTGTAAACCTGAATGATACGTCAAGTGAAGATGATAGTTCTGATGATATTTGATTTTCCATTTTCATTATATTTTTACGTTATCAAACGTAACCACGTATCTGATGATTTACATTATTTTGGAAATGAACATGATATTGTTTTTGATTTTCTGTAATCTTGACTTGCTTTTATTACTTTAAAAAGCTAGAATAATACATTCCAAAATCATTTAAATTTTTTATAATAAGGAAAGACAAATAACAGTACTTCAAGCATTTTCCGTAACATCCTACATTAATTTTTGATATTTAATGTAATATTGTCTATTTAATGTCTATATACGAGTCCCTTTGTTGTGCCAAATAAGAAAGAAAGAATATCTTTACCTCCAACTATACAACATTTTATTTTTGTTTCCCAACCTTGAATTTTCCTAGATCCAAGAAGGCCAAGGATTATAATGCAATGTTGCCGGTTTAAATATATATAGAGAATAGTATTAAAACAGGCTACCTAAATTGCTATTAATTACAAAAACATTTTTTTTAAATATATTATTTCTAATAACACAAATTTACATTTTTTTAACACTTTATGAAATATATTTTTTCTATACCCACATGAATATTAGCTATTCTATGCTCAGACTACAAAACAAAAAAGTATGCCATTACGTTCAACAACGAAAATATTTCATATCCATTCTAACCAGTAAGAACGTGGCAAAAAATGAAATTTACCAATCACAGTTCCTTTTTTGGTTACCCGACTACTATTATTTTTTTTAAATTTTAAATAAATGACAATTCTGTTAAATTAATAATTGTCAGTATAGGTTTTAGTTATTAATATTAAATATACATTTAAATGAGTTAATCTCTGTGTAGAATCGATAATAAATCTAATTTCTATTATTATTATTTCGTCTATATTTAAAAATAAACAATACATTTTATTTAAACTAGAGTAAATTAATTTAATTATGAATAATAAAACTAAAATATAAGTGGCGACTAATTAAATTATTTTTTTCAAATATATTATATTATATAAATTAACAATAGTCATATATTATTTTTAAATTAGTTATTTTATTTTAATAACCTAAAATAACTTTTGATAGTGTGTCGTAGAAAAAATATACTGTAAAACACGAATGGATTATCCGTATCACACTAATAAGATAGAGCACTCCGCCTACGGCGTCGTGCTCAAATTTCGTCTTCGTGCGATATGGCGATATGGCCACTCTTGTTGCACAAACTACTATTGTCGAAATTCACACCGAAATCATAAATAATAAAAACATCGCCTACGCTCATCCTCTTAAAATTTGTTTGTTACTTTAGCACAGAATGTATTTACTCTCCACGATTGCTTATTTGTTATCGGAAACCGTTTAATAATTTTGACGTGTTAAAAATTTCGTTAAAAAATATCTCGACTGGTTTTAAAGTGTATGAAGGAAACTAAAAAAAATAAAAATGCGACGCCCATATTATAAATAAAAAAAAAGAAAATTCCAGCAGGATCTCTTTCCGTTTTTTTGTTGTAGGAAATCACCGTAATGGTTTCTGAATTAATTCGAAAACGAAATAATGGTCAGGTTGGCCGTGTAAGAACTACAAATACCGTGACGTTAGATCATCAATATTTTAGCCAAAACATTTGAGGTGGACCAATCAGCTGCCTGTCAATGAATCGACGGCTGTGGCTGTAGATGTCTTAACAATGAGAGTTTCGTTTCTTATATTATGATTACGTATTAGGTTTTTAAGAATATACGATTTAAAACATAAGGGGCTTTCTTTTGGTTCGGCTCCCTGAACGAAATATTAATTTTACTTGTTTGAGTTTAATTTTGAAAATAGATTTTTCTTGAAATATCGAGTTTTCTTACATATATGAATTATTTATCCAAATTCTTTAAATTTTAAAACTTTCTTATGTGCACTGACGATTTAAAAATTTACCATACAGTAAATAATATCACTGGTTGTATTTTATTTCAAAATGATATTAACCGACTTTAAAAATACTGTCGAAACGAGTTTACTTTTGAACTGTATAACCATGCATCTTTTAAATAAGTTTCAGTCGTATCTAATATTAAATTTTAGGAATTTAGGGATTTGGAACTTAAAGCAACTGATCTGGATATAATTATTTGTTTTTAGCAATGTTAATACAATTTGAATTTTTATACTTTAGTAAAAAGTGAATAATTGCGTATTAAAGCAAATCTTTTAAAAATCGTATTTTTCAACCCTAAGTTGATATATACACTTTATTTATCACTCATGCAACCAAAATTTTCATCAACGTACACTTTTAATAAAAATGACAGAAAATAAGTTAAAAAAAAACTTTCAAAATGACTTCGACACGCTTTACTGAATACGTAATGTGTTTCTTAAAATGGAAAGCCACCACCATCGCCACAAAAAAAAAGATACTAATGATTTAGCAGATGTTGAGGTAAAACGTGTATCAATCTAGGCCCACCCCTGTGTTTAGTCTGGTTCCGCTGTCTTGTCAAGGAATTTTTCACAGTCGAGCATCCCCAAATGCGGTGACAGAAGTGTTTTTTTAATCTATCTCAAGTCAAGATCAGATTACTGATGGTTTCCGCAATTAGATAGACACTTGACACTTGATTGATTCTGTAAAAATTTAAAATTTCTTTCATGGCGTTAATTTCAAATCTTTTCTTTAAAGATTTTGCGGATCATATATATGGATCATATATTTTACTGTATTTAATAAGTCCAAAATTAATTAGAGTAACCAGACGAGAAAACTTAAGACTTAAGGAAAACCTATTTAGTAGTAAATCTTATGCAAGATGGCGGATTTTCTATAAGAAATGAGGATACGCCAAATTGGAATTTTACCTTTTGACCCTCCTATACAATTGTTTTAAGAGCGTACCTACAAAATTTTAACGTTCGAACTCGAAATCGTGTACTCCATCCCATATATTATTTCCCTACCACGGCTGCCGACGTTCAGAGGTCTTAAGTGAGTCAGAGTTACCTGAATTAAGGAAACCAGAACCGCATTTAGTTGTTCTTGGTGCATTGTGAGATATTATTATAACGTAGTTGGATTTATTAGAGGGTGTTTACAATATTTTTTATTTTAATTTAGTGAATAGCTGTAGTTAGATTAAATTACATATTTAGGAGTATAGAGTTAGTTTTTTTTAAGTTTTTTAAGTGTATTTTTGTGAAAGATGGGAAAAATAAAACCAACATACAAACGGAAAAATAAGCGACTGGCTCGATTAAGGTAATACCAATTTATATTTAAAATTAAATAATATTGATTTATTTTTTGTTCTATATATTAGGTTCTTGAAAAAAAGAATGGAAAATTATTCTGAGGTGGAAAGTAATCTTCCGGTAGTCAATACATCAAAGTAAGTAAAGCAAAATTTTACAAAAATGTTTTATGTTATAATATAGTCTAATAATGAAAAGCATTCTATGCTCTGCATTCTATGTATAATATGTAAGAAGTACGTGAAATTTATGCACAACTTTAGACACTATTTGTGTATCTATTTTATATTTTTAAGAGCGGAGAGCAGCTTAGTGTTTTAAAGAAATTCGAAACTTCTTTTGCTAGTCAAACTTACTTTTTGCACTTGTTGTATAAATAACTATTTAAGCTTGTTCTTCAATATCAGATGACAAACTTTCCGAATCACTCATTTTATTACTAGAAAATGCAAAAATACGTTAAAAATGAATTATTTTTGACTCATTGTTTATGACAATATTATCGTTGCTAAGAGAAAAAAAAACGTTTTTATTCAATTGTTAGAACCGCTACCCAACATTTCGATGTGTCGCCAATCGACATGTAGGTAGTGGTGGAAAACAATAACCCTAAAGTCTTAGACAAAAATTATAATGAGCGTTTATTTTTACATTTAGAGGCATAGATAAAAATTTGTAGAGTATACGTGTGATAACGGTTTATTAAGGTACTTCTGCGATTGCCCAACTCATGCTACGCACTTGTTGTGCAAATTTCGCATACGTACGTTAATATAGCTCTTATCCCACTTATATTAGTTTACTTAGTATATATACAATGAAAATTTTGGATTTTGTCAGAAACAAACGTACTTTACTCTTGAGCAAAATTCATATTTTTTGACAAACCTCGTATACCACTGAAACAATTTGATATTTGATGACTGTATTCAAGGTTTTAGATAATGCAGAACTTTTTATGAATAATAACTATTTTTCCTAAAATCAATAATTTTTTTTCCATATGATTCTAACTTAAGTAGACACACTGTATATTAGGCACCGAAATGTAAATAAGTCACATTCGAAGAAGAAGTTATACTTCGAAACAATTGTAATGCAGACTTTTTAATTTTAATTTTTTAATAAAAGTGTATGAGAATCTACTGTTTGATTTTACTCATTTAAGAAAATAACTGTGTTAATATAGAGACCACTTAGCTTTTTTGATAGACTATAATAGTTTTAGATAACAATTTTAAATAACAATATTTTTAGAATTCGTAGCAGTACCACTTCTACCACCAATTTTCCTGTAGATATTTTGGCTACGCCATCTTCAAGTCGTCAGGAGGACAACCGTCAGCAAAAGCGAAGCTATTTAGATAGGGATAGTGTCGTTGAGGAAAAACTTAAAAATAAAAAGTAATCATGTATATTACTAAATCCGTATATTTCAATGGGTGATAAATACCTACAAAGCCGAAATGAAAAAAAGTTAATCAAGTTATTATTTATATTTTGTAAAAATATTTATGTAATTTTTTTATTTTAGAACAAAAAGAAATAAAATTTGTTTGGAAGGTCTGAGAATTGTGGATGCCCAGTACCTAATTCAGCAGGTGTTAAACTTACCACATCATGGATTATTTCACTGCAGTGGTGACAACGTCAAAATAGTTAAAGAGTTCAAAAAAGGCCTACTTTCAAAATTTTTGTTGCATTGCAACATCTGCGAAGAAACGTTTAGCATTAATAGTGAAAACCCTCAAAGCAAAACACTTCGAATTAATGCCTTAGCAGTTAAAGGAGCTATTTCGATTGGAATTGGGTCAAGTCAGTTGTCGGAGTTACCTCCTATACTTGAACGGATGTATCGTAATATTCAAAATGATCTGGGGGACTATTACCATAAAGCTGCTTGGAGTTCGATGATAGAAGCTGGACAAGAGAAAGCTACGTTAGCAAAAGAGAATGGGGAAGTTGATAAGAATGGTTATCCATTAATAACGGTAGTAGCTGACGGATCTTGGGCGAAACGGTCTTATAAGACTAATTATAGTTCAAACTTAGGAGCAGGTGCGATTATAGGATATCGCACTAAAAAAATTTTATATTTAAGTATAAAAAACAAATACTGCTCCTTTTGTAAATTGTTTGGCGAGGAGAAGGACCATAGATGCTACAAAAATTGGGATGGGTCTTCAACTGAAATGGAAAGTAAGACTATTTTAGATGGATTTCACTGTAGTATGTATATGCATGGATTGAGATATAAATATCTTATTGCTGATGGAGATAGCAGTATTTATCAAAAAATATTAGAAAGCAGGCCATATGGTAACATGGTAGTAGAAAAAATAGAATGCCGAAACCATTTGTTGAGAAGCTGTTGTGCACGTTTGCGGGATATTGCAGAAAAAAGGTACAGTACCGCAGGAAAGTTAGTTCCAGTCAAATTGCGTAGTTTGTTAAAATCTAATATTTTAACGCTACGAATTGCTATCGACAAAGCTGCTAAACACCATCGAGAATCTGAAGTTGCAATGGAACATAAAATAACAAATCTAAAGCCTGACATATCTAATAGCCCATATCATGTATTTGGTAAGCACGAGAACTGTTCTAAATACTTTTGTATAAAGTTAGGAAATGAAGAGAATACGGACTACACAGTTGACCTGACAGAATGCGGAATGATGAAAGATATATTGTCATCTATATCAAGAATAAAATTCCATGCAGATAGTTTAATTAAAAACCTTAATAATAATTACGCATAACAATATAACAACGTCATTGCAAAATATTTAGGCGGGAAACATGCTATATTTATATATTTAATTTTTATTGTCACACTGTATATGGCAAGAATTTTTTTGTTTGCCTTTTTTGGATTAACAAAATATTATTTTAATGATTTAAAAATAAACTGTCAGTATCAATAATTATCTGTACCTAAACATATACAAAGAAATCATACGACGCACCAAGAAAGCACCAAATTTTTAAACTTTTTTAATCTACGTAAAAAAGTATATAATAAACTAGATTAATTTTATTAAAGTACTATATGGGCTTATATACATTATATTACATTAATTTTATATGTAAAAATGTGGGTACCAAGTTCACTGCGCATCCTAATTTATATTTAAAATAAAGAAAGTTTCAGGTTTAAAATTGAACACCAAGTTTTATAATAATACTCTCCCTAATTCACCCCCTTACGAGTGAATTTCAGGAATATTAAGAATAATATTTTCTTAAAAAAGTGATAATAAAAAGTGTTCCATATGGAGCAGGCTTTTTGCGAGACACTGTATATATATTTAAAGAGCAATCCATTATATATTAGAAAATAATTAAAAAAAAATTATAATCACATAAATGTGATTTACCTTTTAGAATATCGTATATATACAGCAAAGTTTACTAATCTTTATAAAAAAGATTTATATTCTACAAAATCTTTCTTAAATTTTTTAACATTTACAAATGTTTTAATTTAAATGTAGTCACATGCACGTGTGAGGTACAAAATACCTTAATCCGTCTATAATTATCGAGTTTTAACAAGATGGAGATCGGACATCGTGGAAGAAAGACAGCGAATTTAGTAAAGAATTTTAACTCGATTAAAAAGAGTTGTTTCTTTTTCCATTTTCTAAAAAAACTAACAGACCTTTTTGAAATCGGTTTTCGGTAATTTTCCTTCTGATTTATTACCTTGGAAAGTGGTAGATTTATATAAAAAACGAAAAAAGCTGACTTATTATTTTTATTAAATGAAAATTTGTTGTTATTTTCACAGTTTTCAACCGCCCTCTGTTTCCATAAAAAAATTATTACGATGTTGCCAAGCCAGCACTTTTCTAGATATCAACACGTTCTTTATTGTACTTTTAAATTTTTTTAAAATATTCTTTAGTTTTTTCATAATTTGGGAAAAAGAATAGCATTGAAACTCCTATACTCGAAAAATTGTACGTACGCTCTTAATCTCAAATGACAATTCGAAGGTACTATATAAGGATGAAGCAGGTCCAAGAATAGCATTCTACTTAGTAAGAAAAATCAAAGCAATAGTATTAAAAATAATTTTTTATTCGAATGTGTCATAAAACACCGTTTATCAGACAAAAAACAGTAGAAAAGTAGAACTTTTGTATATACGAGTATTTCATAAAGTACTTTATCAGCCACGGCCTCTAAAGTTAAGTGTATAAAATATTACATACCGATTAGAATTCTCAAATGTGATATACCATTTTTGATTTTTTTGAACTCAAATTCAAAGACGCTAAATTTTACGCTTCTCTAATTTCTAGGGGAGTGCCCGTAATGTTACTACTCATTTTTGTAATTTTTAATAAAATAGGTAAATTAATTTGACATGAGCACAGTGACATGACAAAAATTGTTTAATTGTTCTCATAGCAAACTCAGTTAAGGAAAAATTATTGTATATAATTTCATTTCAGATTTAATTTTATATATACAGGGTGTTTCATATTATATGCGCAGGACTTCAGTACGTAATAGCTCGTCCAAAAATATGAAAAAACGTTTTTATTAACTTACCCTCTAAAATGCACCAGTTTCGAGATACAGGGTGTTGAAATTGAAAAAAAAAAATCTACGCCACTGGAAAAGGTACGGTTCTGAGACGCCCATTTGAACCGCCAATGTTTTCTACACAAAAAAGTTAGTCTTGATCATACGCTCTAAAGTCGACCGCTTTCGAAAAATTTTAATGTTGAAAATTTTTGGAAATAAAACAAAATTTGATTTTTGGGTCATTCTTCAAGGGAAGGTCAAAATGCGGTAACTCACTTCTTAAAACAAAATGTTTGTTATTACTGGTTAAATAAAATATTGAGCCTAGAAACCTAAAGTTGGTTTTTTTAGGATCTATATAAAAATCACCAGATTAAATTTTTTTTATGGTAATTTTAAAATTATATAGAACAAACGTCACCTCCATGGACTGTAACCAACACGTCCTTCAGCAATAAACTGTTCGTACTATGAAACCCTATTAAAAAAAATATCTCAAAACTCATTTTTTTATATCTTTAAGTTTATAAAGGTCCATCTTGACCAAGATTCGTTTTTCAAACTGTAAAAACAATTACTAATATTACCTAAATACGTGTAACCACCTACGCTATCACCTCCATGGACCGTAAAATAAATAGAAATATTTTTGTCTGGGAGTTTTTTATATACCACGTGATATCAGCAGCATCTTTGAATTTAACAGTCAGTCGTATTTGAGAAGGCACAGAGTAAACTTGTTATTGAGTGTCAATGAAAAACATCGTATTTTGTTGGATACCTGGTGAGTATTTTTATTAAGCATCATCTCCGTGTACCTCAAAATCGACATAATTTATTATTTGACGTCTATGTTTTTTTGTGTAGTATTTGTTTAAGGTGTTATCTTTATTACTACGAAATTAATGGGACCTAAATTTAATATTATTTAAAAATTTATCATTTTAGTTTCAAAACATCATCACCATGGACATCATTTCCATGATGTTAGCTGTCCATGGAGATGATGGAAATCCATGGAGGTGATGTAAAGATTTTTTGCTTGTTTTTCAGATAACTATTATGGCAAAAATAACCGATAAATTAATTGAAAAGCGAAGACGTCAGAAAAGGGAGTCAGAACAAAGAAGACGGGAAACAATTAGGAATAATCCAGAGCTACATGAGCAAGCTAAACAAAAAGAAAGAGAGCGATACTACAAAAGAAAAGTGGAGGGAAAAATAAAGTCGGTAAATCAGTTAAATAACAGAGAAAAACGACATGTAAGAAAACAATGGATAAAATATTCAAAGAAATACAGAGATAACTTAAAAGCAGTTGACAGAGAAAATAGATTTTTAATGGACTATACACCACCAGGTACACCTATGAACAATTCAGACAATGAAAACAATATGAATGCTAGTAATGCAGGGTCAGGTAGAGCAATGGCAGGAAGAAAACGAGTACTAAGAAAGCGTTCAGAAACTGTAAGGAAGTTGAAAAAGATTGAACACGAATTAGTGAAATATAAAAAAAAAGCTCTGAGATATAAAACTAAATATTATAGAATAAAAAAACGTTACGCAACACAGAGGAAATCTTCTTCTCCCAAATCAAAAGTGGACTATCTTACTAAAGGCCGTAAAGTAGATAAAGTTATAAAACAGCACTTACTATTTGGGGAGGTATTAAAAAGACAGTTACATAATAATTTTGAAAAATTAGGTAATAGCTATAAAAAGAAACGACAATTTTTTAAATTCACCACAGGATCACTCTTTAAAAAATACCGTTTGTGGCATCAAGTCACACAAGAATTCGGGTCATACAAATTAATAAAACAACAAAAGACACCAAAAAATGTAACGCATTCCGACTTAAGAAAAGTTGTAACACAATTTTATGAAAGGGATGACAACAGTCGAATGTGTCCTGGTAAAAAGGATACAGTCACAGCAAAAAAATAAAAAAACAAAAACGTTATCTTACAGAATCACTGAAAAACTTGCACAAAAAATTTGCTTCGGAAAATTCTGAATCGGTAAAACTTAGTTATGCGACATTTTATAAGCTTAGACCTTTTTGGGTAATAATACCGACGGTACATCAGAGAGATACTTGTCTATGTGTTACTCACGAAAATATGCTTTTACTAGTTACAAAAATGAAAGTACTCCAAATAATTAATGAAAGCAGTCCAGAAGCATTATTGAAAACTATTTGTTGTGAAGCAAGACAGGAATGCATAGAAAGAAAATGTTTAATGTGTAAAGATAAAACATTTCAGTTTAATACTTTTAATGCAAATGAAAACACATCTTTTAAGAAATGGATAACGAAAAGTTTCAATGTGAAAATAAAAGAAAAGGAGAAGATATGCAAAAGAATTTTAAAAGACGAAGTTAAGTGTACGAAAGGTGAAATGATAAAGCTTCTGAAGGAAGGATTTCCGAAATATATGATACACGTTTTGAATATGAAGCATCAATATAAGATGATTTGGTATCTACGAGACCATTTAGAGCCAGAGAAAGAATTCCTACTTCATGTAGACTTTTCGGAAAACTATAACTGCAAATATTATAGAGAAGTTCAAAGTGCACATTTTGGCAGTTCAAAACCGCAGATTTCCATGCAAACTGTGGTTTGGTACTACAAAGAAAACAATGAAATTGTATCAAATTCGTATTGCCGTTTTTCAGAAAGTTTGCGACATGACCCCTCGGCTATTTTAGGGTATTTAAATCCATTGTTAGAAACGATTAAAAGAAAATTACCATATTTAAAGAGGGCTCATTTCTGTAGTGACGGGCCCAGCACACAATATAGAAATAAAACAATGTTCCAGTTAATTGGTACAGAGCTAGCAAGTATTTTGGAAGTAGAAGTAATTTCATGGTACTATTTTGAAAGTGGTCATGGTAAAGGAGCTGTAGATGGAGTAGGAGGTTGTCTAAAAAGAACCGCTGATAGACTGGTAGCTTGTGGCATTGACATACCAAATATGAATGCACTTCTTTTTCATTTGAGAGACGCTTGCCCAGGGATTCAAATTGAAGAAATAACTCCCACAGATAGCAAAATTTGATGCTATGGTTCCCAATAACCTACAACCTTTCAAAGGTACTATGAAGGTTCATCAGGTGTGCTGGGTGGAAGAAAAGTCAAATATATGTATTATCATTACGTAAACTAAGTTGCGATAAATGCACTTTAAATGAGACATTATGAATTGGGAAGTATGGAACTTCTATTTAGGAAAAAAAAAATCAATAAACTTAATTATTCTGACGAATATTCCGATTCAGATTCTGAAGAACAGGTCCCGGAGATAAGCAGCCCTCTTAAGATTTCCAAAGAGAAAAAACTTTGCGAGGGAGATTACATTTTAGCTGAATGGCCCAAGAATTCTAAAATTTATTATGTTGGTCAAGTACAAGCCTTTAAATGACATCACACTGAGCTAGCGTATTGCAAACTTGTTAAAGCTGATAACTAAAAGACTGATAATGCAGATGTTTTTTAAAAATGAAGGTCTGTGGGAATATGGGAGACAAGAAAACTATGGCCAAGATATGTTTAATGGTTTTTCCAAACCTTTATGTCCATATATCTAGTTTAAAAGGAAAGAAAGAAGCTTGGGACAATTTAGCAAAGCTTTATGAGCAAAAGGGTCTACTGGGTCGTCTACGCCTCAGACAAAAACTTCTAAAATGCTCTTTAAGTGATTATCCGGACATGTCTTCTTACATATCGGATGTTATGAATATTGCTCAACAATTAGCTGATGAAGATTCGGCTGCAGCTCTTCTAAATGGACTTCAGAATTTTTTGTACCAATGATAATGGCATTAGATAATAGTGGTAGCACGATAACTAATTCAATCGTCAAAAGCAAACAACTGCCAGAAGGTTACAGAAGACAAGATAATAATTAATCTAAAAAACTCTAATTTTAAAAAGAGGAAAAGATTTCCATATAAATATACCAAGTGTAACAAAGTTTGTCATAAAAGAAAAGAGTGTTACTCAAAGTCAACTCCTAAGCAGAATGAGAAAAAACCCAATAATCCAATCGTGATATTCACCAGATGTGATACAGCTTTATCCGTTAACTGTAAGCGTTGGTTTATAGACTCTGGTGCTACATGCCATATGACGGTATTCTATATAGACTGCTAAAAATATTTTGTAGAATGTATATCCGAAATTAGTATGACAAACAGTAACAAAATCACATCTGTTAATGTCAGTGACATATCAATTTACACTGATAGTGGGTTAAAACCAATAAAAGATGTAGCATATTTTCCTGAGCTGGCAGTTAATTTCCTCGATGTTTCAAAGATGGCAGGTAAAGATTTAATAGTTGATTTTATTGAACGGTTGTAAAATTTACCAGAAAGACGACTACAAGATTAAGGTCAAATTGTACTGAGCGGTTCAAGAAAAAAAGGTACAGACTGATGCCATGTCAATTAATATATGGTACAGATGCCTTGGACACTAAGTTAATTAAGGTATGCAACAAATCAAGAACTTAGTTATGGCCTTCAGTATACTGCGCACAACTTTGATCCTTGCATCAACGACGAGCTGCTATTTTTCTTGATATAGTTCATTCCGATGTATGTGGGAAAAGAAGTCGATGGGAAACTCTAAATACATGGTAACGTTTCTTGATAAGTACTCTAGAAAAATATTTGTGTATTTTATTTACAAAGATAAAGTCTACAAAAAATTTATAGAATTTAAAGCACTTGCTGCAAATCAATCTGATAAGAAAATTAAAACTCTTAGATTCGATGAAGGCAGAGAATATGATATCCGAAAACTGAAATAATACTTAAGTTCCAATAGTATTAGGTTTGAAATTATAATGCCTTATTCTCCTCAGCAGAATTATATCACTGAACAGGCTTATAGATTTATTTGTAAAATTGCGATGTCGACGATAATGTATGATAAATATTTGTGGGTAAAAGCCTGTAATACCGCTGTTTATGTGAAAAATCGAAGTTGCATTAAAAGAAAAAATTCCTGAACCAAGTACAAGATCTAAAACATCTACGTGTATTTGGTTGTAAAGCCATGGTACAGGTTCCATGTCAGAAAAGGAAAAATGGGATGCTAAAATTATTGTTGAGCATACTTTTATTGGATAATGTGAAGACTCAACAGATAATAATTGCTATAAACTATTGACAAAAAACAATAAAATCATCAGAGCTAAAGGTGTAATCTTTTTTAAAACATTTTCTAAAAAGAAAGACTTATTAGAAGAGAATATTGTTCTTTTCGAAAATACTTTAACTACTAAAAATCCTAAATCTGTAATTTTAAAATCTGAAGAAATACCTGACTCTGTGGATTATGTTAAAGAAGAAATAGCAAATAAGCATGTCGATGGTACCACTGTTTAACCCGCAGAACTCGTCGAAGATCCTAGGTATCCTGTTTGCATCAGAAAAAGAAAATAATTTTCTAATTTTGTAAGTTTCCAAGTTAGAAGTGATTGCTTACCAACCGATCCAGCTAGTGTATCTAACGCATTTAGTAGAGATGATGCTAAAAATGATACTAGTGGTAATGTGACTACATATAAAGCCCGACTAGTTGCTAAGGAATACAAACAAACCTATGGAATCGATTATGATAAAACCTTCGCGCCTGGATTTCTAAAAGAAAGTCTAAGACTACTAATTGATAAAGCAGCTAAATACAATCTTAAAATAGAACATATGGACGTTAATACAGCTTTTCTTGATATGGATCTTAAAGAAATAGTATATATGAGTCAAACAGAAAAATTTTGTTACTGAAGAAAACTCCAAGAAGGTATGTTTACTGTAGAAATCCTTATATGGTTTAAAACAAGCTGCAACTACACATTTTACGAAACATTGTTAAATTTAGGTTACAAACAATCAGAATTTAATTTAAATGGTACTATAATGACTATAGTCCTATATGTGGATGATTCAGTAATTTTTTATAACAATTTGGAAGAAAAAGAAAGACTTAAGAAACAGCTTACTACTAGTTTTAAAATAGAGGATTTGGGTAAAATCAACTATTGCTTAGGCATAGAAATTACCAAGCAAGGGGAAGAGATTAGAATAAACCACAGAAAATATATAATAGATCTACTTAATAAATTTCTTATGCAAGAAGCTAAAGTAGCTCGTACACCTATAAAATCTAAACTAAAATTCGTAGGTAGAAACAAAAATTGTAAATTACCTGATCTACCATAACAAAGCTTAATGGGTGCCTTATTGTATTTATCTACATGTACACGCTCAGACATTTATTTTGTCGTTAGTGTACTTAGCCAATTCAATACAAATTATACTATGAAATTGAGGCAACACGGAAAAAAGATACTTCGGTGCTCAAAAGGAAACCTGAAAAAGAGTTTCATATTCAAACCATAAAAAAAACCTTGTGTTTTTGCTGATGCAGACTGGGGTGGAAGCAACATAGATAGACGTTCCTACAGTGGATTTATTTTTACCTACGGTAATGGACCAATTTTGTGGAGTAGCAGAAAACAGCGATGTGTATCCCTATAGAGCATAGAAGCTGAATATGTTGCTCTTTCATAAAAAGTCAAAGAAAGAATTTTCTTAAAAAAATTATTGAAAGTACTTGGTGTAGAAGATGGACAAGTAACGGTATATAATGATAACCAAAGTTCTATTAGCATGTCTGCTAACGCTACTAATCAGAATCGCACAAAACATATCGATTTACGTTATCATTTTTTTTTTTCTTTAGGGGAAGTGTTTCAGGTATTTAAATCAGAACAAAAATTTAGTAATACGCTATATATTGATGTTGATGTAGTTATTAATATAATTGTCAATGATATAATTTTGTAAAGTCTCCTCACGATATTTTATTATTTAAAAATATACTCCTTTCGATATAGTAAACGATTCAATCATTTGCAAAAAAATTTCGCCTACTACGTTTAACTGCTACATTATTCTTGTTCATATTTCACTTCCTTTGGCCTCTTTACTGTACTTTTTCTGCTATTTTCTTATCATCAAATAGCTTGTAACTCTTGAATGCTGTCCTGCAACATGCGGTCGCGAATAATAATTATTCCCGTAATCTGTCGGTATGGGTAAACCTGCGAACGTGTACGCATACCATCCTAGGGTTTGGAATATTAGGGGTAATTACTAGTGGACGTAGTAGCTCGTTAGCCACTATGCGATACATGTCCTGGAATGCGATGTCGTCAAACATATGCAATTCTCGACACTTCCACTTATCCACTACGAATTAGATTTGGAGGGCCACTTTGGTATATTATTCTGTATGTAGTACGAAAAACATACCTGGATATCTAGAATTTTAAATATTTATCTAATTTAAGCAATGAGAAATATTAATAGAAGAGATAATTCCCTGGTAAGTTTCTGAAAATAAATACTATTTTTTTAACTTTAATATTATTTACACCTCCACCAACGAAGTCGTGACTCAAGTTTGACCTATTTTGAGACCTAACAGCAAACATATTGTAACGTTTGTTTAATTTATTTATATTTATTTATTTAGTTACAACTTTATGTACAATTTATTTATAACATACTAATTCATTTATTTAATACTTAGACACACTATTATAACTCGCAATTCTAATTTATTTATTACAATTTGTCATTACTATTCAACACTTAAATTGTATTTTCTTTCCTATAGACAAAGTAGCGGATATTTATATAAGTCCAGCTCTGTATCAGAATACTCTAGGTGACCTAATAGCTTCGGGAAGTCCCTCTCTATGACTCATACGCCGCAACGCGATCATTCCAGAGTTTCGAGAAGCGGTGCGTTTGTCTTTATATGGTCAGCGCTAGCACGGAGTAAACAAAGTACAGAGACGGCTCTGCGTCACAATATCTAACTCAATTATCAATGATTTTGGTTGAGATAATTAACAAATTTAATGAATTCTGCTACAGTAATCACGTTATACTGGATATAAATGTATTAAATTCATTATATATAATATGATAGAAACGCAATGCTATTGAATAGGGAGAAATAGAATATACGTCGAAGAGTATA